TTCCCTTCTGTAGGTAATCGATGAAGATTATGCCATGCGCATCCTAAAAAACGGAGGCCATAACCTTCCCGGCCGAGCGTTGGTCTTTTGGCCGCTTTGGTTGGCTTTCGTGGCTTTCCAGCCACTCTGCAGACTGCCTATTGGACTCAGGCGTATGGTAATGGACCCACGTTTCATCCATCGTCACAAAATGTCGAAAAAAGTCCGCTCGATTACGCTGCAACAACGCCAAACCGGCCGTTGAATTATCAACGCGCTGCTGTTTTTGGTCGACGGTCTCCAAAAGATCGTGCAAAATGTATCCCGCCGTTCTTTTGAGATGCCCACGGCCTCAGCTAACTCGCGCAACTTCACTTTACGATCACTCAAAACGATTCGATGCACTTGCTTTACAATTTCCGCATTCGTAGCCTCTTTTGGCCTTCCAGAGCGAGGTGCGTCTTCGGTGCTTGTACAACCCACTTTAAATTCACTAAACCACCGATAAACTGTTGTTCTCGAAGGAGCAGATGTGGGATAACATTTCTGCAACAATTGTAATGATTGTTCCTAAGTTTTTCCCATCAAAAAACAATGTTTGATCAAGATGCGATATTCCTGTTTTTCCATTTTTTTTACGAAGACGAAAGTAGCGTCACTCAAACGACTGTAGCTTGTAAACGAATGGACGAAATGTCATGAAACTTCATACATAAACTAGTGACAGATGAGCCTCTCGAAATGAGTCATGTCCATTTTCTAGTGGCGCCACCTATTGAAAAATCCCGGGACTTTTCGGCCCATGTAGTACTAATATGTAGGAGAAACCCTGATTTGAATAGACTTTACGAATTTTTCAGAAAAAATTCGTGAACAAATCAAGACTAGAATCCCCCCTTAATCGGTTCTTCTTGACCCAAAAAAATGCAAAATATTGACAATTAGTTAATAATAAGTATGACATACATCAATTTTATAAAAAAAATGAGGATACCGATAAAATATAAAATGTACAATTGCTCTCTCTATATTGTGATGTTTTTTTCTTGTATTATTTTATTGTAGAACGTTAGAGTCCCATAGAATTCTTACTTTTTGCAAATTTTCAAATATATAGTTTATTTTGGGTTGTCAATATTAAGTCTAATTTATTTCAAAGTAGCATTAAAAAGTTTTATAATCTTATTTGGAATTTTGAATAAAACTATCTTGAACAGAAGAAATGCTTAGGAAATTTTATTACGTGTTTTAACACTAAGTATCCTGTTATATGTGTATATCATTTTTACTATATATATTTTTTCTTCTTCAGAAACCAGTTTTATTTAATTATATCGGAAATATCTTGCCCACTGCATTAATTATTCTTGATGACTATTTTCCTGATAACGTATTAATAGGCTTGGAATGTGTGTATTTATCAGATTATTCAACATTCTTATATATGGTATATATGTGTATATATATTATGATATATATAGAGTTTATTCTCATATATACATATATTATATTTCATTATGTATTCACATGACAAATATTTTAGAAAAAAGGACTAATAAATTCTGGTTATGCTAAATTGATTTGTCACGTTTTGCAATTTTTAACTCATTAAAAGGAAACAAGATGATACGTTATTCCTTTATATTCCTGCATGACCAGTCTTTTAGCAACTATGGAATAATGGGATAATATCATAAATTTATTTGAGGTAATGCTATTCATAAGATTATCACAGTAATTACAACGTAATTGAGTGCCATGAAATTATAATTTTCACTTTTGCAGTGGACAATACGTGAAATTTTCTCAACTTTGATAGAGAATATGGAATTTGTGCAGAACATTGAATTGCGGCATGTATATATGTTGAGTTTACCTCATCTCATTACAAATATAGGCAAATGATGCGAAGCTCTCGTTCGCATATCTATTGAGTACTGCGAACATTACACAGATTTAAGGACGGTAAAGGCAACATTAGAGATATAATCTTTAAGTGTGATAATACGCCGTACACCGTATGAAATAAATAAAATATATATTAATTTCGGTTTGTGTATTTCTTTCGATGACAAATGTGTATTTCTTCAGATGGCAAAGACGTTCTTATTGATGTTTCGTCTACGAGTAGGTGCATATTATGCCCCACTTTATACTGTATTCTTGAAGATGCATTTTGATCTGACGGAGTTTGATCGAGCGATCATGCAGAATTTGGAAGATTCCATTTTCATGTTGTACCAGCTATCATTCATTGTAGACTGTACGGTAATTAATGACGATCGAATGCGTATCAATGATGGGTTCGATGTTATTCAAATGTACAATGGAACTATGTAAGTACCGTTGGATATATTCGACCGACTCAACACTTACGAGCACTCGTTGTTATCGGTACATTCTTTTGGATCATCTAATCAAAGTTTGACATCTAGAAGAATACATTAATTCTAGCGAGTGTTGATCAACTGTTGGGTCTGCTGAATGCAGCGATCGATGTTATTAATCCATCCAAGGTTGTTATGTTATTAAATTCGAATTTATACTTGTAACTTTACTTTCATACATATACTTTTATATAGAGAGGTGATAGGTTTTATCAATGGGATGGAACTTCTATGTGTTCTTGGAGATAAACAACAATATAGATTTTTCAAATTTTTCTTAAGTAATGGCAATAGCAAGCGAATTCAAGTTGTCGCATGGAATGAAGCTATCGATCGTGTTGAGTATCATGTAAAACTTAATTTTGTAAGTATTTTAATTTTGTTTGTTTAAATCAGTATATACATATATATGTGTATGTGCATAAATTTTATTGCTGCGTTAAATGCATTACAATAACACTCTATTAAATTGTTAAATTGCAGATCATTTATTTAGATAGGGTACTGATTCGTCCTCCTAAACTTGCTCACTTTAATAACGTATGAATTGTAACTTTCCTCAAACGCTGTTATTTCTAATTTTGATAAATATGACCTCGTTGTTACATCGAATGTGCAACCAGAACGAATTGAATTTTGTAAAGTCATAAATTCTTCAACGAAAGTTGGTGAGTTTTCTATTTATTTTATATATTATTATTTAATAAATGGTATTAAAATGTACAAAATAAAAGAATGCGGTAAAAAAGGTAGTAAAAGTAGTATAAAATAGCAATTTTCTTTTTTTTAATTATATATTTTTAAATACAGTCTGATATAAACGATATAATTAAGAATAGAGTTACTATGCAGGACAATGTTTGTGAAAGTCAATTTATTTGAAAATCTGATGTTAAAATATCAAAATATAAAAATTCTAAATGTTTCGGTCAATTTTTTTATCATCATAAGTAGTTAATAATTGCAATACAATCTTCAATTTAATTTTATCAATGCTGAATTGTCATAATTCCATACAAATGTTCCAGATTTATTGAAGAAATGATTTTCTTTTTAAGAACGTTGTATTTAAACACAGGATTTCCAAATACTGTATTAGTACCATAGAACTTATAGAAATTTTCAGATGCCAACACGTAGTCATATCATTTTTATAAATTTTTATAGAACGATTTTTTGTTAATTAATAAACGCGATTTTATTATAACTTACATAAAATGATTCAATATTGTATTTTGTGTTGCAATCGTGGCAAAATAGTGTCTTACCATAGGTATTACACAACTCGTAATTGTCATTAAATACTTGTACTTTATGCTCGTATGTTTTCGGTTAAGTAAAATCACATTTAAATTCTTGCAGATTTCTAAAATATGCAATATGCAAATATGCAATCTGTATAATTCAACATACATATATTCCTATATTTTATCAAGTGATTTTTCCTTTTCATTTAATATAACATCATTCCTTCTTTAATATACAATTTGTAATTATTTTATGTTTTATAAAGAAAGTTAAAATAAGTAATAAAGAGTAAGTAGTTATAAAGTAAAAATAAAGTAAGTTAAAGAGAGAACTCGCGGTAATTAAAACACTGCGCTTCACTTGGCACATGCGCGGAAAGAAGAAAAGTTACTGAGTAGGACAGAAATACATCTTCTGTCTCTCAGATGTTGCTCACACCTTCTATTCATTGCTTGAATAGGTGGAAAAAAACCCCCCCCCCCCGCAGAGAACTCATTTCATCTACGCATACACTTTACAACGTAAAGCGACATAGAATTTGCGAGCTCCTTCGCGGAGGAAGAGGTGGAGTGAGAGTCGTTACGCGTAAATGTAGTAGGTTCCGCCCCTCCCCCCGCGGAGGGGATCCGCTACTGTTAAAAATAACCTAATCCAATCCATTTAGTGATGTGAGATAACACTCGCTTCGCGTAGAAAGTCGAAACCCACGTGCAACAGTACAATCATAGAAGTCGCGCGCTCCTTCACAGGGGGGAAGGAGGATGAGAGTTGCTTCGAGTGGAAAGTTTAATGTTTCTAAACAAGAGGAGGTAAATAATTAGCAAATATATATAGAAGAGAAATAAATAGGAGAGAATAACTAGCAACATTGATTGTTAATGACTTTTTAACGCATGACTAGCAACTTTGATTGTTAATAACTTTTTAACGCATGACGAGCTACGGCTAAAATCTGTTGGAGGTTACTCAGGGTCATGACCTTGACAACATATGTCAAGGTCATTAAAGGGGGCTCCCCTAAAGGAAATATTTACCTATAGCTTTACAATAGTAGTACATAAAATACGAATACATAAAATTGAAGTATAGAAAGAGTACGCCATAATTGATAGCAGCGTAGTAAAGACAGAAACCTTGTATTCGGCCAATTATAGTAAAGCCATATAAGATCGTTGTTGTTAATATAGAATTCTGTGCTCGCCTGCGAGCACACGGACATGGGATCGTGCTTGTATGTGTTACACACCACGATAAATGGCTGAACTTATAGGCGTGGAAAAGTGACATTTTGACCAGTTTTGACGACGAAATTTGTGCACAATGCCATTTCGTTATTATTTGCTTAATTGTGAAAATGTGACTTGTTTCCTACTTCTCAAAGTCGTAATTTTCGATGACAACTAAAGTTATCTTGGAATTTTATACGTAAAAGTGTATATTTAAATCGTTTCAACAGTTATGAAACCATGTGTTTCTACCAGAATATAGGCTCACTTTACGAGTCTTTTAGGACCATTTACTGACTATCAAGAGAGAAAAGGACAGTTTTCATCGATTTTTACAAGTATTTTAAAGCGAACCCATCGTTTAATTTCATCCAAATTGTCTCTGTTTACAAATAGCATCGTGCATAAATTAACGTGTCATTCCTCGCTTCTGACGTCACGATTCCAACATGGCCGCCGCGACTACTCAGGGGCCTTAAGGCTCCTGAGTAGTTACCATATTGAATCATGATTCGTTAGAAGCGAGAAATGATATGTTGATAATAAGCATAGTTTTCGTCCATTTCTACAAATGTTTTAAAGTTTAAAGCAATCTTATTATTTCGTTTTATCCAAATTGTCTTTATTTACAAATGACACGTAATAAAAATTAACGTGTCATTTTTCGCTTACATACATCATAATTCAGTATGGCGGAGATTGTAACTTGACTGAGTTTGCTTCAACCGCTAATACACTAATTTACTAAATACGATACATCGATTATCTAATCTAAAGATCAGTCTGAATAGTTCATAAAACACGTAACAATTACTGTCTTTATCCTTCCTGGCGAAAAACATTTTTACGAATTAGTATAGAAAAAGTATATAGAGATTGAGACAAGATTTAAAAAATTCTTAGATATTCATAGATATTCATAGTGGAACGTAAAGTGAGGTATGTTTGCCTTAGAAATCCTTAATTTTTTGTAGATATTTGTGGACCGTAGAATGGCGCTGTTTGTCTCATGATACAAGATACGAAAAAATGTTCTGGAAAAACTTGCAATATACCGTCAGAAGACATATATGGAAAGGGTGGAGGATTTTTTGGTTTTTCTCAATCTATGTAATTTTTCGTGAAAATGTTTCCGCCAGGGCTGTTTGGTAGGAATATGCGGGTACCCGAGCCTCGGATCGGGACAAGCATTAAGATCCAGCTAGGCCGTGTAAGGCTTTGATTTCTATAGTTAATATTTTATAGTTTTAGTTGGATATGTTAAAATTAATTTCGCCCCTGTTCCGCATAATCAATTGAATAAGATGATAGGTTGTGATTCGTTAACTTATGGAGAATATAAACTCTCAGTACATATTATGAATTTTAATGAAACTGAATATTTTTCTCTTGATGTAACAAAAGATGATAAAATAAAAGTGATTGGCGTGATACGAGCAGGTAAATGGTTTCTTTATTTATTATTAAATTAAAAACATTGAGACTTTTTTATCGTTTTGTAATATATTTTTTATATATTTATAATAGAGTACAATTAAGAGAATAATATTTTTTGTTGAAAAAGTTTTGCTCTAGATGGCAAATAGTTTTTAATTTCTTAAGATTATTTTAAAATGTAATTTATAATATTTATAATTTTTGCAAGTGAAGCAAGCTGCACACGATGCTTGTTTTTCTGTTGGATTGCTATCTGGAGCAGATTCTTGCTAACGGATTGGTTGCGATACTGGCACTATCAGCACCAAAGCCAATACGGTGGCAAGATTCTAATCCAGCTAACAATCCAGCAGGAAAATAGGCATCGTGTATCGCTGGCTTAATTTTTATTGTATGCAATTGCCTTAAAATCTTCTTAGTGTTTCTATTTTTATATTAAGTATGCAATTTATCTTTTAGTTGAACCACCGTATTTTTTGGTAGAAAGTTTAAAAGATTTAAAGGTGGTAGATGGACGTATGTCATTAGCATCGGTAATAAAGGTAGATCGTCCTTTAAAAAAAGAGATGATTGAGGAAAATTCATTGCAGGTATATATATCATGTACATATTAATAAAAATATGTTATTTATAAGAATAAAATACACATATAAAGAAAGGCATGCTTACATAAATATTTTTCTTTTACAAAGTCAAAACAAGAAATGTAAAACAGCTTAAATTTTAAATATGGTTTTGTATTTATTTTGTTTTATTAATTGAAGTTGCAAGTTAGAGATAATATTGTTTCATATTTATTCATTCTCTACTATGAAGGACGGGATACCTGTTATTTTTTCTAATTTGATTCTGTCTTTTAAAAAAGCCATACAATTAACTTTGATATGGAAAGATGGTAAGATACAATTTTCGTTTTCAAAAATATTATCTTATAATTATTCCATTAATTGAGGATGTAATAAAATTTTGATAAAAAATCAGATTTACCATCAAACTTTCACTTTTTTAATGTCTATATCATAGTCTATATCGATGGTAGCATCAAATTATTAAAAATTGCTTGTCAATTTAATTCGCGATTACTAGAGTAGTTTTAATTGCGTTTATTTAGTCCGGAAAAACAATTCGGCGCGCAGTTTGAAAAAGACTACAATATGGCAGGGAATGGAAAGTTACTTTTTAAAAGTAACAAGTTACAGTTACTCGTTACCGAGTAGAAAAAGTAACAAGTTACCGTTACTAGTTACCGATTTTT